GACCTTGTTTGGAGGCACTAAAGAGATAAATAGCTCACTGGAGGCGGGTTCCACACTCATTCCCTGCAAGCCATTCCTGTTGACAAGCCACGTGGAGCTATGCTGATGGCAGCCAGAACCTTGGAGCTGGAGGAGCCACGTGGAGACCCACGCCAGTGCTGAGATGCTCCCACCACCACTGGATCCACAAGACTTTCCACCCACTAGCCTGTGATCTTCCTGCACTCGGTGTCATTGCATGTGTTGTGTGAGTCTGAAGAGGAATTTACAGATTGGTACCAGACATATGGGCTAATATTGGACTTATGGACTTGATCTGGACTGGGCTGGGATTTTTTAAATTACTCTTTATCTAAAGCTCTTTCCTATACACATATGTTTATGAATGTGTTTCTCTAATCTACCCAGACCAATACATCAGGCAAAACAGATCTTAACATAAAAATTGTTAGTAGAAGCAAAGGATAGCGTATAACAATAAAGGGCCAATCAATTAAGAAAATGTAACAACTATGAACAAGTTTTCACAACAGAGTCCTAAAATACTTGAAGCAATCTGAGGTCTTTGAGGATACGTATAGAGCATAACGCTGTCCTGAAACACGTAACCCCATGACCTACGAGGGTGCTTCATGTTCTACCACTGGAGACTCAATCCTTCGGGCTGAGGTTCCCCCCCTTTTGAGTTCCCTGCTAAAGTCTCGGTGTGGTGCTGGGGCCATTCTTCACATTACACCTTAGCGGAAATTGTCTTCTGGCGACTGAGAGAAACACTGAGGCAATTTGAAAGAGTGGGCAGGTGAGGCCTGCAGTGGGCCCAGAGGGAGAGCAGAGCTGAGGGGAAGGGTTGAGAATGTTACACATTGGATCTAGGGGACAGTCGGAGAAAGCTAGAGTCTCTCAGGGGAACAGAGAAGACCCCCCAAGAAACTGTCACAGGAAGCCATGCTAGTCAAGGAGACAGGCAACGTGAGCACTGGTTTGGGGCTGGGGCTTCGCGGAGAGCAGCTCAGGGCTGAGGGCGGCAGCGGACTCCCGAAGAAGCACTAGCAGTCTGAACAGGGAGCAGGAGGGGGGCCGTGGAGGGGGGCCCATGATGACATAGGTCAGCAACCACCAGGAGCTGGAACCAGGTCTGAGCTGCTGTCTGTCTGCGTCCTGGAAAATGAGGTGGAAGGAGAGAGAGTGGGCTGTGTGCTAAGATCAGAGAGCAGGCACTGGCAGGCTTGGATCAAACAGGAAAACTGGGGCATTTGGGTAAAAGTGTGGGTGGAGAGGGAACCAAGAAACTCACAGCAACAAAGTCAGTGGTGTAAAGAGAGAAAACCGAGTAAACGTTTGGGGACCTAGGCAAAGGGGCTGGGCAACCCAACTTTGAAATTTGAGGTAGTGTTTGTGCCCAGTTCGGACTCTCACTACCATTGAGTCAGTGTGGACTCACAGTGACCCCCCCTGTGGGGTTTCCAAGGTTGTAACTGTTTAGGAGACTAGGAAGCCCAGTCTTTCTCCCTCAGAGCTGTTGGTGGTCTTGAACTGCCAACCATGCAGATCACAACCCAACATGTAACCACTACACCGCCAGGGCTCCATTGCTTAGCAAACGTTAGTTGCTTCTAAATCTGCAAGGAGCCCTGGTGGTGCAGAGGGAATGCATTGAGCTGTTAACTGCAAGGTCAACAGCCACTCTGAGGGGGAAAGACTGGGCTTTCTACTCCCGTAAAGCGTTACGGTCTCGGACATTCCAGGGGCAGTTCTACTCTGTCCTATAGGGTGGCCGTGAGTCCACACTGACTTGATGGCAATGAGTCTAAATTTGAAAATGACACCAGGCAGGTGTATGGGCAACAACTACATGTGTGATAGTTAAGGTTTATTGTGCCAACCTGGCCGTAAACAGATGGGATTCATTGAAGGGTGGAGAGATAAATGACTTGGTGAGCCTCGCCTTGTTCTTTGGTCTCTTGTTCTCTGATGGTCGGACCAGCGTGCCACTGCCTTAGTTAGTTCTTTGTCTCAACTGGCAAAGCTCACTTCCTGCAAGACATCCCTGAGGAGAAGCCACACGGACCTACCTCGATGCAGCCATGGGTGCTGGAGCAGCCGCGTGGAGACCCCTGCCAGCGCTGAGATGCTTACACGTTCACTGATTCGGCTTTCCTCCTGCACTCAGCACCATTGCGTGTGTTTTGTGAGTTTGAGGAGGACTTTGTAGATCGGTGTCAGCCATAGGGGCTAATGTCAGACTTATGGGCTTAGACTGGACTGGGTTGGGGTGCTTTCTTAATGTACACTTACCTTTTATATAAAACACTCTCTTATGTACGTATGTTTCTGTGGATTTGTTTCTCCAGTATGCCCAGACTAGCACAAGGGGTTAATAAGAATAACGGCCCCTGTGCAGGACCATCTTCCATGTGTCGTCCACTGTGCCAAGTACTTCATGCACACGATGTTGGTGGCTTGGGGGCTACGGATTGGGCTGCAAACCACAAGGCCAGCAGGTCACAATCACTAGCTGCTCTGTAGGTGAAAGATGAAGCTTTCTACTCCTGTGAATAGTGACCGAGTTAGAAACCCACAAGGGCAATGATGTGCTGTCCTACAGGGTCACTACGAGTCAGAGTCAACTCGATGGCAGTGAGCTGGCTTTGGGTTTTTGGTGGTGTTCTATTTCAATGTTTTAAAATGTTCCTGTGAATTAGACATTGAAACCTCCTCTCTGCACATGAAGTCGGCTTAAATGACTTGCTCAAGCTCCTGATGGCAATGGACCATGAGAGAGAGCCCAAAGATGTCTCTGACCGGGTGGGGTCGGGGGCCTGACAAGCTACTGGGGAAGCTTGGCGTTGAACCGCTTGGGTAGATTAAAAGGGAGAGAGAGAGAGAAGCTCAGGCTGGAGGACAAGGAACATCTCAAAGTCTTTCTGAAGACCCCCTCCTCCACACTGTCCAGGTGAGGCTGGCGGAGGAAACAGCATAAAGACCTGCCCTACCCATCTCCCTTTGAGTAGAGATTCCCCCTGCCTCTGGGAAGGAAAGCCCAGCAATAAGCCATCCCACCTTGTTCTGCGGCCTGAATGCACCTTCTCTAAATGGCTGCAGTTCTCAAGGAGGCCCTAGGTAATCACTGATGAAGGGCTCAGGGAACCCCAATAAATACCAATGATCTTTTTGCTCCACACAGGGAAGCTGGTCTACTTTCTGCATGCTCCTCCCTACCTCTACTCTGTCCTCCACACACACAATGCATACAGAGATGCGGGGAGGTCATCTCTAAAGGACCCACTTGTTCCCCACACGTCCCACTAATGAAACCAACATGCTTGCCCTCCCTTAAGGAAAGAAGTGTGTTGTGAGTTCCTGCCAGCTTTGTATTGGGGTTCAGGACCACCGCTTGGATGGGAGCTCTCAGAGCAGGAAGGGCCCCAAACATCAAAGAGCCCACTCATTTCTGATCAGGAGACGGTGGGGTAAGAGAGCTAGCTTGCCCAAGATCATGCAGCCCCTCCTGAGGCTCAGTCCTGGGCTTCATTCTGCATCTTCTGGGGCCTCTCTGGTCCCTACAAGCTCTGAAGGAGAGAGGAATCTGCAGAAAGGAGGTGGGTTCTTGCCTGATGATTTCATGGGTGTAGACCACCTACTGTTTCCTTTGGGAAGCCAGGAAGGGGGGCTGCAAGGCTCCTTACCCTTGGGGACTCTGCCCAGTAGTATCTCCCACCTGCTGGCTGTGTGGAATCTTCTTGAACCCATTCTTGGAGACCCTTATATACTTTCTGCCTCTCTCTGTCCCTGCTTGTCCCACCTGGTTGGGGAGGGAGCAAAGGGGGGCGCTGTTAGTTGGTGTGACCCCATGTATGCAGAGTAGAAACCCTCCGTAGGGTTTACCTGTGATCTTTGGAGAGATCTGCACCTTGCTGGCACCTCTGAGTGGATTCGAGCCACCAACATTTTGACTCATAGACTCGCACTTAATCCCTTGCACCACCCGGGAGCTCCACTTGGATGTGCATGACCTCTTCTCCTGTGGTCGTGACTCTGACCCCCAGACAGGGATGCTCTCATTGCCGGCAGTGCCCACAGCCAGCCATCAGGGCCTTGGACCCCCCATACACCGAGCCCAGCCCAGACGAGGGAGACAGAACACAGCCCCAGATCATGCCCTGTCATGCAAGTGTCCCGTGCTGTTGCGGTCACCGGGGAGGGGCCTCCCTTCCCAACACCAGCGAATGTCAACACCACAACCACAGATTGCAAACAAGACAAAAATCTTCTGGGACAAAGGACAAGAAACCAAAACGAAGCCGGTAACCATGGACCTAGTGTTGGGCATCGCTGTTGGCACGTCAATCGCTTCCCGTTTAATCATCATGTACTTTTTTTTTCCCCACAGGGCTATTTTGAGAAACATTTAGAAAATGGCTTTTATATGGCTATATATAGACACCTTATTTATACCCTTCCGAAATGGTCTCTCTGTGTTTAGCAGCAGATGGGGTGTTGTGGTTGTTGTTGTTTTCCTTCCCCCAGTTTTCTTTCCATCTCTGGATCAAAGCTCCATAGGAAGGAAGTCAGCCCGCTGCACTGCCCCTGGGCGGAATGAACCCATCACCTCCGTCCTGGTGGGGCCAGACTCGTTCTGTGTCAGGCAGTTCCAGAGGACTTGAGGGGCCACTGCAGCAGCAGATGACCATGGGCCCCACGTCTTGGGAGAATCGAATGTGAGGGCCCTGGTTTGCTTCTCCCAACAACAAGACCAACTAAGCCACCCCACTGGCCTCCAGTGAACCGAAGCTGGAGCAGGACCCCCACTCCACCATCGCCCAAGCAGAGCATCCTCTGGTCTTGCAGGACGCAGCCAGTCGAACCTGCACAGTTGCCACGGAGACTGCAGAGCGCGCAGCTCCGGAGGGCAAGGGGGAGGAGAAGGGAGGTAGAGAAGGCACGTAGTGACTGTTCTGGAAAAGCCCATCAGTTTCCTTTCTCCCAGGAAACCAACCGGAAAAGGAAGGCAGGGACAGCGGGTGTCTGGGCAGAGGAAAGGCCGGAGATGCCCAAGGGTGGGCAGCATTCCTGACTTGCTTCATGCTCTTTCCCGCCAGGGACCCAAGTCACTGACAAGGAGAGAGTGCTGGCCGGCCTGGTGGGCGGCACCCACACTGGAGCTCCTGTGCACGGTTCACAGCGGCCCCGGGCCTCAGGCTCCCGAGGGAGCAGTCCAGGGAGGTCTTCTATCGGCCACAGCAGGATGACTTCTTGGCACAGGTACTGACCCGGATGGTATCCTCCTTCACTGTATCTTCTTGCTCCTTGAGGATCCTGGGAGAACAGTGAAGTAGGGTCAGTGGTCGAGAGGTCCTGGCCCAGGACTACAGGCCCACTGGGAAATGAAGAGGCAACTCAGCCAGAGAGACGAGTCATCTTGCCCCTGGGGAGTCCAGGTTCCTCACTCTAACAGTAAGGCCGGAGAGTTCCGTCAATATGGCCCCTCCAGGACACCTCCTCCCAGAAGCCTCCCCTGATCCTCTAGGCTGGACTGAGTGCCCTGTGCCCTCCCCTCTGTTACAGCCCTTCAACCAGCATCGCAATGCACCACCTCCTTGGCTTCCTTCCCCACCAGAGCCAGCTGCCTGCCTGAGGCCTGGGGCTGCATCCTTTGTCTTTGTGGCTTTGCAGCAGCTGAGCCCACGGAGGAGCATGCAGTGGAGGCTCTGGGGAGGCATGTGTCAGTGGTTCATCCCAAGGGGGCGTGGCTCCAGATTAAAGCTACGAGGTCAGGGATTCACCGTCACCATAAGCATCTTATCCCTGCTTGACCCCTGCCAGGCAGCGCTGTCACCCTCAGTACGCTCCTTGATGTTCCCAGAACAACCTGAGAATGGACCAGGGGATGTAGGTGTGACTGACAGGCCTACAAGACCAACCAAGCTCGGGGGCAAGGGGGCCGTGCCCAGAGACTCTGTGGCAGAGAAGAGCCCAGAACTTTTCTCCTGGGTGCTCTGCAGCCCCACAGCCTCTCCAGGGTGGATTTGTTGTGAGTTCAAATACATAAATTTTCAAAAAGCATTTTAAATGTCTCCAAATGAGCGCTGGGTGCAAAGTGGGCACTATTAAGTATTAGTTGAGTGGGTGGCTGGATGGGTGGATGCAAGGAATGCCCAGATGGATGGATAGATGGCTGGATGGATGAAAATGGAGCTCAATGCGGGGGGGTGGGTGGGGGGGCTCTGAATTCTGGCATAGGGCCTGCAGGAATCATATTTCCACAGGACCTGTCTTTTCACAACGGTACCCTGAGTCCCTCTGATTTGCACCACTCTTCCCACTGGCTGCTCGCTCCTGCCCTGCCCAGGGTCTAGACCTGGGATTGGCCAACGGCGCTCCCTCCATACATTAAGTCCAATAAAAAAAAGTAAAGGATATTATTCTGATAATGATGATCTCGCTTATTTGTGAAAATGTATTATGGCTCTCAAATAATTCTTAAATTGTTGCGAGGGACAGAATTGACTTTTCAGACCCTTTCTATCGACCCATCCTGGCTCTCAGCTGGCCGCCAACCGATCCAGGGAAGGCATTTCCCAGTGGGGAGGGGCCTGTGAGACGTAGGACCTTTTCCAGGAGCATGCATGTTTAAAGCGGGTCTCAGGGATCACGCCAGGCTTTAAAACTAAGAAGAAGGGCCTGCCGGGAGCGGGTGACAGGGAGACTTTCTTTTCAGTCTTTACTGGGTGCTTCCACAGAAGGTTGTCCCTAACTCCTAAAATCCCACACAAACCACCATCTCCTCGGGTGCTGGACACAAAGGCCCCGGGCCAAGGTGAAGGCAGGGTCTCCCACAGGACCTGGCCCCGCTGGATCCAAGAGGTGCTACCCCTGCTCAGGTGTGTCTGTTTTACCTGGCTAGCTGGAGCAGGGACTCCTGGGCGTTGTGACCGGAAGAGGCACTGCATTCATAGAAGATCAGGCTGTTCTCCTAGAACCATGAAACACAGAGGCTGAAAGGAGAGTACTGGGCAGACAGGGCTGTGAGGCGTAAGGGGCACCCTGTGAGCATCTACTTCCTCTCACCCACCATGGAGTCGTGTCCGACTCAGCAATCTATAGACCTTCCCATAAAGATTTATGGGACAGCCTCACCTTCCCCCCACGGAACGACTGGTGGATGTGAACCTCTAACTTTATAGTTCGCAGCTGTGATAGTTAAGTTTATTAGGCAAACCTAGCCAATAGAAATGTGTGGGATTAATCAGGTCACAGTTTGATTGGAGGGCAAAGAGATACATGACTTGGCAAGGCCTGCCCCTGCTCTCTGGTGATCGGACCAGCCAGATGCTGTATTAGCTAGTTCTCTGCCTCAACTTGTGAGCTATACTACCTGTGGGACAGTCAACCCATGGATTGTGTTGATAGAGCTTGAGGTTCCTGCTTCCCCACGCTGCTGGTAGGTACATCACTTGAGCTTGATGTTGGTGGATCCTGTCAACTTGCATTGCTTGCGTTTCTATATCCCATCCTGGCCAGCTTCGCTAAGCTCCTAAGCTGCTGACTGTTGGCTGCCTGCCCTGCTGTTTGCTGCCCGTGGGCAGACTCTGGCTGCATTGCCCAAGGGAAGACTCAGCTGTCAGCTTCCTTGACCTTGAACTTGGCAACCCTTGAAGGACTTCCATTGCATTAACTGTTCCACCGAAGTGAGTTGAACTGAGCCCTCTGTACTGCTGTGTGGACTGATTAGCTGTTACATTTCTTCGTGCTGTATAGATCTATCCTCATATAATCATAAGTGTCCTGGTTGTGTTTCTCTAGTGAACCCTGCCTAACATAGGAGCCCAATGCATATCCCCCAGCGCCAATCCTCTCTGCCCAAACCCATGACCACTGAGTCCATTTTGAACCCCAGCAACCTATAGGATGGAGTAAAACTACCCTTTGCGGTTTGGGGACTATAACTCTTTAAGGGAGCAGACAACTGCTGACCTTGTGGTTAGCAACCTAAGACATAACCCACCAGGGCTCCTACCCTCTCACAACCCCCCTTAATACCTCAACCCCCACCTCCAACTCTGTGCATGGTTGGCTTCCATCTCCTCCAGCTTCCCAGAGAAGGTGAGCTAGGCAACCCTCTCCCAGGTGAGCGGTAACAGTTGTCAAACAAGGATGCTGCCCGCGGCCCTCGAGCTCTGCATTCCCACACCACTCTCAAGGATGAGCGACCTCGCTTCATTTTACCCCTGCCCTGGGAGACAGCAAGGACGCACAGCCTGGGGCAGGCAACCCACTTTGTGCCATATTTCACAGTCAGGAGACTGACTTAGGGAGAGTGCATGGCTGCCCGGGCGGGCCACACTGTCCCTCAATGGCAGGAGGCCGATGATGTCCATACACCTTGGGGCAGACGTCCCTGAGTCTCTCCCTTGGGAAATCTCCTCTCAGCAGCTCATTAGCACTCCAGCTGCCCAGGTTGTCAGCTCCGGTGCCCTAGAAACAGTGCCTCACAGTTCACTCAGCTGGGGTTGTGCTGTGTGCATGCAGGAGCCCTGGCCTGGGCTCACTGTATTTCATTTCACTTCCCGCTTCGAGGACGGCAAGGAGGCGGGCGCTGTGGGAGAGACGTGGGCTAGTCTGGCACAGGCCCGCCCTCTGTGGCTGCAGATCCAGAGGTTCTTGAGCAGCTTGTGAGGTCTGCTTCTCTGGTCCTCGCCCAAGAGGCCCGGCGGCAGCCTCCGCCCTCATCACCAGCCCCACGCCCCACCTCTCTCCCCTGTCCACTTCTTTCAGAACCTGGCTGTGGGACAGAGTGGAGCTGGGGGTGGCGGGGGGTGGAGAGTGCAGAGGGCCCCCAGCAGAAAGGCGAGAGTTGTCCTCCAGCCTCCAGTTCTGACCCCACCTCCACAATGAGTTCGGTGTTCTTTTGAATCAGCCACTAACTTCTTCCAAACGCTACTCTCCCCTGTGCGGACAAAAAAAGGAGAGGACAATAGCGACGCAGGTCTCCAGTTCCTGACCCCACCCTGCTGGAGACAGGTGTGTTTTACAATCCTATACGCTTTCGATTCAGGAAAAGCCAGACGTGCGCACACTGCAAATCGGAGGGCTCGGGCTGTTCAGACGGCGGATGTACTTGGCTGCTAATCAGAACTGGGGATCTGAGTCCACCCAGAGGCACCTTGGAAGCAAGACCCAGCGTCCCATTTCTGGAAGGTTGGCCATTGAGAACCCCGTGGAGCACAATTCTATTCTGACAGGCATGGGCTACCATGAGGCATGGTGGATGTCTTGGTGACCGGTTTTACACTAAGGAGCCCTGGTGGCATGGTGGGTTATACACTGGGCTGCCAACTGTGAGGCCGGCAGTTTGAAACCACTGGCCTCTCTATGGGAGAGAGAAGAGGATTTCTGCTCCAGTAAAGAGTTACAGCTTTGGAAACCCACGTGGGCAATTCTTCCCTGTCCTATAGGGTTGCTATGAGCCAAAATCGAGCTGAAGGCAGTGAGTGAGGCTTTGAATCGCACTTTATCCAGTGTGCTCAGTGGATCTGGGGCAGCATTCTGAAATCCAACACACACAGTCACAGACACGTAACACATACTTACTTATACACGTGGACATAACACAGGCATATCCACATACATATCCACATACACATTCACATATAACACACTTCTATCGATGTACATATAACACATACATATCCACACACATCCACATACATGTTCACCTACGTATAACACATAGATATTCACATACATGTAACACTTTTCGTATTCACACAAAGTGAGATGCATCAAAGCCATGAATGGGTGCATTTCTGTTCCAAGCTGATTATCATTATCATTATCTTTTTTTTGGCCACCCGGATGGTGAAAAAGCTTTCTGTTTGCAGAGCTTCTTGGACTTAGGAATGGTGGACGAGGTCTGGAGGCCTGTCATTTCCTACAGACCAGAGGAACCCGGACACGGGAACGTCCGCCAGACCCCTCTTCCTGCTTGTCCCTCAACTCTTCACGTGTGTGCCCATCGCCCCGGCGCTGAGGGCCTGTGCCGTCAAACCGCCGGGCTAGACCGCGCCCCTGTTCTCCTCAGTGCAATAAAAGAGCGAGCACTTCCGGTTTCCATTGAGCCCCACAGGCTCCATCTCGGGCAGGAGCACCCCATACCCCCCACCGTGTAGCTCGAGCCCCTCGTTTGGAGGCCTCATCGTTACAGAAAGGGTGAATTTTCCCAAAGAACAAACTCCCTGAGAGACAGGGAGCCTTTCTCCTCTGACGGGGATTTAAGTATCCGATGAGGGCCTGGGTAATTTACATTTCGGTGTTACCCGTAAAGAGAGTTTGGGGCAATTCTCCAGGGCCTAGTGGGTCCTATTGGCTCTATCTTATAACGTGTGGCTTTCTGGGGGACGTTCTAATGTCATCAAAGCAGAGTGTCCGCCCCCCGAGATGCAGGACACTCTTCTTGCCCAGTTGCTCCCTTCCCGCCGGCTTCCAGGGGAGGTTTCACAAAGGTCCCTGGGCCTGACTGCCCTGGCAGAGTGCCATCCGACGCAGATCTCCGTGCCTGCTCTTTACCTTGGCAAGCTGCTCTCCGAGGCCCCGGGGTACCTCGCGCTCCTTCTCCTTGTCAGTTTTATTGCCCAGCAGAAGAACAGGGATGCGGTCGCCCACAGCCTCCTGCAAAAGAGAGGAGCCCCCACCTGAGAGAGGCGCCAGAGGGCACTCAGGAGCAGGGCTTCACCATGCAGCTTGAGAAGCCCTGGCTGTCCCCCCCAGGACCGGTTATGACAGAATCATCCAGAAAGCAGAGAAGAGTTCTTGGCCCTCTCAGAGAATCTCCACAGCGAAATGCAGCATTAGAAAGTACCTGAGGCCTGCCCCATCCCCATCCAACACCACTCTCCGTGGATCCTGGGTGGAGCGTGCAGGCTCTCCAGGTGTGCAGGGCAAAGGGATAACGGACATTGCTGAGCGGCGGGTCCTTGGATTCCCTGCAGGCATTCTGAAGGGCCCAGACTCAGCTTAGGTGGACAGACTGCACCATGGGCTTCCTGCGGCGCGCTGCAGAGCTGGCTTGGAGGCCGCTTTGATGAGCAGCAGCAGCTGCAGTCCTGAGTTGATCAGGGTTGGATTCTCAGTACTAGCCCAGTGGGTGCTCGATGGATGAGTGCTGGGAGCCTAATTGCAGGTCCTTCCGTGAGGCCCAACTGTTCCCTATTGCTGGGTGCCTGGCTCTGAAGAACAGTGGCCGTGAGCAGTTGCACATGTTGGCCAGAAGTTCTCAGCCCATCCAGCCGACTGATTCCTCCAGAAGGGGTGGGAGCCTGCACTCCAGGGTCTTGGCCCTTGTCAATGGGGTGTCTCTTAAGAGGGCGAACAGAGGGCCCAGGACGCACAGCCATTGCGTGTGTAAATATGACAATGCTCACATGTGAGTGGGTTGCTATGTTTACGTGGTGAAATATTTAATTCGGCCTTTTAATCATAACTTGATAACAAAGATGTATTCACGGCAGCTCAGTGATGTACTAAATGGAATAACAGAAGCTAACACGCAGTGAGGGTTTTGCCAATTCTTTAGCTTCTGTCCCTCCCCATGCCCAATAAAGGTCTGACGTCCGCTGGAAGAGTGTGCCCGGTTTAAGTGTAAATGGCACTGCGTTGGAAATTAGCTCTGGGGATGGCACGAAGCTGGGCAGTGTACGCAGGGTCACTGTGAGTCAGAACTGACTCGAGGGCAACAACAACAGTGTGGGAAACAGGAAAGTGACCCCCCAGGTTGCCCCCCCCCAATATACGCCAAACCTAAGGTGCTGTTTGCAAACACATGGTCACAGACTATGCACCTGGAGGTCAACTGCTGAAAGGTTCTCAGCCATCTAGAACCATCAGACCCTAAGTCTGTCCCACCCCGAGGAGAGCCCACTCCCTTCTGATCAGGAATAATGGAGCGTTCCCCTGAAGGAGAACCCAAAGACCCCTAAGGCCAAGCCGCCTTAGGGATGACAGGGTTAGGCTGCCATCTAGACTCTGGAGCCCGCCTATCTTGTTACGTGTGTGCCTTCCTGTCATGCGTATGTCTGTCATACAACTCCTCCCTGTTAGGCACGTGGGGGACTGGCACACCCTGAGAGTGTATATAAGCTTTGGTTGGAAATCTATTCTCTCTTTCTCTGTATGGATCTGGCTCCTAAGATCACAATGGGCCCGGAGGTGAGCACTCACATGCTTCATCTTATCTGATGTCTCTTTAGTTTCACCACTCAATTACACAACCACCCCTTGGACCCATTCAATTGTGGAGACTGGGATCCCACACAACAGTATATGAGCCCACGCTCCACTAACCTTTTTTCCCTCTAGATTCTTATTTTCAATAAAGTTTCTGCTATCTATTATCATAATAATTTGAACTTTCCAAAAAAAATGGTAGTCCCCCCTACCCATGGGAATTCATGTTGCCGGGATACAGAGTTCTGGTGTTCAGATCCATTGACCCATCTTCGGCAGAGAGATGTGGCAGTTAGCTCTGGAAAGCATTACATACAGCCTTTGAAACTGAACGGGGCAGTCTCACTCCATCCTATCAGCTTGCTGTGAAGTGGAATTGATTTGATGGCAGGGGGTTTTCACGATGACTCAAAGGCACTACAAGATCATACCGTGTCTTCCGACCCATCAAAAGTTGATTCAATTTTGTGTGCCATGAAGTGAGCCGCACCTTGTTCCGATGATGTGGAATTGAGAAGTCCACTTGGGCTGTATCTAGGATGCTATTGCTCCTGATGAACCAGAGGGCTCCTTCTTGGGAATCCCCATCCCCTGCGTGTGCTGTGCAACAGAAAAGAAGAGGGGGGAGCAGGGAAATGGGCCAAGAGGCTTGCTTGGAGCACACGACGGAGGGATATTTGTAGATCGATGTGTGAGGAATGACTAAGGCTTGTGGGATTGCTTGACATGGAAACGTCTGAAAATAAGAGCACCAGACTGGAGAGCCCAGACGGAGTTCTGACCCAGATTTCAGTATCACTTGGCCTGGAGAGGGACTTCAGTTCCTCCTCTTGCAGCCCTGGGGGGGGCGGGGGGTGGGTGGTGGTGGATCCTGCCTGGTGGACTCTGCTGAGGGAGGGAATCTCTTCAGCGGCCTCTGCACCATAGGCAGCAAGGTTGCCTCATGAGAAAAGAAGGGGCCGTCTTCTGTATTTAGGAAAGCAATTCCCAGATATTTTAAGGCAATCTCTTAGAAGGAGCGGGAAGGACGGCGGTGGGTATCTCCTGGCCCTCTCTTGACTCGAACTTCAGAATTCTTCAGCTGGCTACCCTCTCACCTGAGACTGTCAAGTTGTGTCACTTCGCGGGCGCACACCACGCCAGTCAACTCCAAGTGGGTTCTGACTCATGGAAGCCCATGGTTCTGAGTAGAACTGGGCTTCATAGGGTTTTCAATGGCTGTGTGCTTTTAGAAGTAGATCCCCAAGCTTTTCTTCATAGGAGCCTCTGGGTGGATTCAAACTACTCACCTTTTGGTCAGCAGCTGAACACTTACCCATCCACACCAGCCAGGGCCTCCTCCGCACAAAGATGTTCATCAAGAGCCACTAAATGAGATGCAATGCTTCTTTTAAAGGGCCAGTGTACACCTCTGGTGTTTTGACAATGAAGTTGAAGGCGATGAATACCAGCCTCCGCTGCCGATATTTTGATAGAGGCTGGTAAAATTCATGATGCACGCAGTAGGTCAGAGTGAAGCTTAGCTCCTGAGACCGGCCCCTCATTTCCATTACGAGGACTCTGCTCTGGCTCTGCCACCATCTTGCTGTGGGCTTGCCCCTGTCACTTCTCTGCTCCCCATCCTCGGATCTGTAGGACAGGCCTCCCTCCTACAGCCTGTGCCCGTTCTGTGCCTCCGACATCGAGGCCTCTCGACCCCTTCCATCATTTCAGTTGCCTTTCTCTGAGCTCCAGCTTGTTGGAAGACAGACTTGTTGAAATTCAGAAGATCACCCGTCTCTGACTTTAAATAACAAGAGCTGTCAACTCAGAGTCGAGTGCTAGCATTCAGTTCAGAGTGTGCAGCTGGTGGGTTCGGTTGCTTGTCGTGTGTGTGTGTGTGTGTGTGTGTGTGTGTGTGGTGTATGTGTGTGTGTTAATATCTGTTTGCTGGGAGGCAAGCAAAAGCACTTAGCTGAGAGAGTGCCGCGGTTTCTCTGGAGGCAGAATGAAAAATTTCTCAGCACATTGAAGCATGCCGTGATGCTAAGAGAGAAAAAAAAAGACTGCAAAATTATATCTTGGGGGGGGGGGTTCCATATTTATCCACCCCCTGGACGATGAGTCAAAACAAGATTTATTTGTGTGGTTCGTTTTAAACTGCCAGCACTTCCAGCTCGACTTGGAACGTGGGGGGAAAAAATCAAACTGCTATTTTTTCTTTTGCTCTGTGCTGTGCATTGTCCCCAATGACAGAGCTCGGAACAGGAATTAGCTGGCGGCCCAGGGAGGCAGAGGGAGCTGGGAAGCTGTTGTGCTGTGAGGCTGAAGGGAGAGGGCTGCACAGGAAGGGAAGGCACACCTTCTTTTCAGCAGCAGACTGCAACACCAGGGGCCACGAGACCAGGGAGGAGCATCCTGCAGAGGCAGAGCCCGAGATTCTAGTTTGGGCTGCACCACTCTCAAGCTGCTGGGGCCTCGGGACCGGTCACTTCCTCTCTCTGGTTTTCTCATTTATAAACAAAAAAGTTCCCTTAGCTTAAACCCAAGTCCCTTCCTAGTTCGAATGTTCCGTCACCCAAAAAGAGGGTACTGTTGGTAGGTGCCATCCAGCTGGTTGAGATTCACGGTGACCTCTGGGCAACAGGACTCCATGAAACGCGCTCTGGCCCTGTGCCCTCCTCCCCATGGCTGTGAAGTGCGAGCCCATTGTTATAACCACCGTGTTAGTCCTTCGCTCTTCTCCGCTGACCCTCTACCAAGCATGGGGAGTCCTGGTGGGCCGCAAGATTACAAGTTGGGCTGCTAACCACGAAGTTAGCGGTTGGAGCCCATCTGCCACTCCGTAGGGAAAGATGAGGCTGTTGGTTCCAATAGACTTCTAGTCTCTGAAACCCATCGGGGCAGTTCGACTTTATCCTAGGGGGTTGCTATGAGCTAGGAATGACTCCATGGTGCTAGCTTTCAGTTTGATGCTACCAAAGGTGACGCCCTTCTCCAGGAACTGGTCCTTGTTGATAGAAAGCTCCGATGACAAGAGACCAAGTCTCAGCATCCTCTCTTCCGAAGAGCTTTCTGGGTACAGATACTTCTTCCACGACAGATTTGCTTGTTCTTCTGGCATCTGCGGTATATTCCGTATTCTTTGCCAGTCCCATAATGTGAATGCATCGATTTTTCTTCGGTGGTCTTCATTCCTTGTCCAGCATGCACAAGGGGCAATGCAGAGTGACAACGGAGGAGCTCAGTGTCACCGGCCAGAACAAAGTCGGGGCCGCCTGCAGAACCGACTAGCAGTTGCTCATGTGCAAGTTCAAGTAAAGCTGACATAAAATGAGAGCAAGTCCACAGAGCAGAAAGGAATACCAAAACCAAAACCCATGGCTGTGGATTTGATTTCAACTCATAGCAACTCTATAGGACAAAGTACAACTTCCCCATAGAAGTTCCAAAGCTGTAGATCTTTA